TTTCAATTTTTGCAAATATAAAATCTGGTATTTCATCATGCAACAACTGAACTGAAAACACTTGATAAATGAAATCTAAAATAGTTATTTGAGAGAAGACTAATTTTTGCTACTAGGAACCCTGCTATAGCACTTTCAGAATTCTCTACTCTTCTCAGATTTTTCTGCTTTTGCTTGTCCTCTTCCTTTCTCCAGCCTTATAGGACTTTCATCCATTCTTGGAGATCTGCTCTCCTCTCTTCCACATCACAACAATGGTGCCTAAAATTTATTCTATTTATCCTTTTGGGAAGTGTTCCTCAAAATTTAGTTTTCGTGGGACTCACTTGATAATTTACTTAAATTACAAATTACCAAGCTCTTCCCTCAAAGATTTCTGATTGCACTGGTCTGCTGTATAGCTCACTAATTTGCAGGTTTAACAGTCACCCCAGGTGATTCTGATGCATGTTATTATAAGGTAATGTTTGAAGGATCACTTTTTACCAGAGCACGGTCACCTTTTACCAGAAGAATATTCTATTTGTTTTAGCAACCCCTGCCCTAGAATATTTAGTTGGGTACCGATCAGCACAAGTGTGAGAACACTACTCAAAGCCAAGAAAAGAACTACCTGAAAGAATTAAAAGTAACAGTGTCTGGCTCTCAAACAGAACTGGGAATAGTGCTGCTTCCCATCAGCTATGCTAGAAAACTCGATTCATAGGGCATGGGGTAGAGTACTAGAAAGGTCTTGCCTCAGTGGTAGGTAATAATTAGCCCTAATTAGCACTGCTCCTATCACATCTAACAAATCTTAAATGCAAGATCTGAAAAGATCAAACCATTTCTAAGCAATTTAACTGCATTCCAGAACAAAGCCCAAGAATATTTAAGAGTACAAAAACATACAGCACTCAGTAAAATTCCCAGTACCTGACATCCAATAAAAAATTACCAGTAATTCAAAGTAGGAAAATACGACCTCCACACTAATATGAAAATTCAATTATTCAAAATCAAGAACGGATACAGATGTTAGCATTAGCAGAGAAGGGCATTAAAATAGTAACTATAACTATATTCCATGTGCTCAAAAAAATAAGTAGAGACATGTAAGATATTAAAAATATTCAAATTAAACTTCTAGAAAGCAAAACCACAATGTGTGAGATTAAAAATACACTGATGGGGCTGGGCATGGTGGCTCATGCCTGTAATTCTAGCACTTTGGAAGGCTAAGGCAGGAGGATTGCTTGAGGCCAGGAGTTCGAGACCAGCCTGAGCAACATAGTGAGACCCGCCCCCCCCCCGCCCCGCCATCTCTACAAAAAATTTAAAAATTAGCCGGGCATGGTGGCACATGCCTGTACCCAGCTACTTGGGAGGCTGAGGCAGGAGGATTGATTGAGTCC